GACTTGCTGGTTACTAAAGAAAAGGCAGACGAGCTCGATACATAGGAGACCCTACCATGAACGTTATTTTACTCGGACAGAACTGAAAAATCTCTTACCAAAAAGACTTAGAAGGTATGGTATACCCTCATACCGGACGGAGTATCGAAGTAATAAAATGTTTTGTTCCCATTACCGAATGGGGGTATGAGGACGACCAGTTAATTATAAAATTAGATATTGAGTTCACGAGTAGGGGGAGACATCCCTATGCATCCTAGTGGTACCAGTAAACAGGTAAGAAAGGAAAATTATATTCTTTTATTTTCTTATGCGTGAAAATAAAAAGTGGTATGAATATTAGCCTTCATAGGTTATTTTTGAAAAACTCGTTACGGTAAGTATCAAACAAATCTCTTCAAGTTTAAAGGTATTTAAATAATATAAGTGCTCAATTAATTGTTTTTCTTATTTTTACCAATATTCAGTTTTTCGTATTTATGATTAGTATTATATTCTTACTGAAATAGTATAGTTTACCATTTCATTAATCATTTCAAATCAAAAGAACCAGAATCCAGATTCCGATCAGTAAGACTATTGTGAGTAGTTCACCACCGGACTCTCGTTAAATACTAATGAAGGTTGTCCTAGGGTACTTTTGTATTCACTATTCGTTTTATTTCTTTAATTACCGTTTATCTTTCAGAAGAGATATTTTCATAATTCTATTGGGCATTCTAAATTATTGTATAAGAAATGTAAATCCTAATTCTATTAATCGCTTTCACATTTAATTTATAAATTTATTTTTATTTAACTTCCGGACCTTTACATACATATTTATTAATGACAATGAATTATATTGTTTGATCAATATTATTCCTTGTTTCATCTGGGCTTTTGTCTTCTTCTAACTGCATTGCTTCCATGCAAAGCAACTGCAACATGAATGCACAAAACAAGAGTTTAAGTTAATAAATAATCTTATGTGTGTGTATATATATTTGTTATATTCCGTTTAATTCTGTAGTAGTATCATTCTATATACATTTATATATAATGCATACCTTGGATTGAAAGTATCATATTTTGCCCATTATCCTTGACTTTGTAATTTGCAATCTTGGAAATTAAGTAGCACCCTTATTTATTTATATATAACGACATATGTATACATACCTGCCTGCCTCTCTACAAATATATATAGCGACGTACATTTATATATATACGAACTCTCTCCACCACCAACAGCAGCATCCAGCAGGATAATGAAACTAGAGAATGAGCCATGATAACCACCCAGAACTTGCTGCTTCATCAAAAACTATATACCCTAATTTCACCAACCATAATTCCAAATATATTAAAAAGAAGAAGAGGAGAACATGAGAAATTTACCTTCATTAGAGTTAACGCGAATCCTACTATCAACAACATGAAGATAGCGGCGCGACCACCTTAAAATTTCTCGAACTGGTCGGAACGACATGAACTGATTAACCGCCCAGTTTAATCTGTTCCTCACATCGACAAATTCATAATTCTCTTCTTTTACTTCAAACCGACAGACAGGACAAGTATTGTGCAGCTTCAACCAAGGAATAATACACACAGAATGGTAAATATGTTTGCATGGCAGCTCTCTGCATTCTCCCTCAACTTCAAATTCTTCTTTGCAAACTGGGCATTGCGTCTCCCTCTTTATATGTTCGTCTGTTATTTTCACTACTGGTAGAGCTTCAATGGCAGAAATTGTCGCCGGAGGTGGCCCTGGCTGGTCGTTTTCCCTCAACCCAGTTATGAAATCCTCATTGTTTCTGTCTCTGCTTCTGGTTGCTCGAGAAAGTAATTCGTTATTTATTTGTCTTGGTAAAGGATCTTGAACGAGTTGCAGGGTGATCCAGTCAGCTTCAGAGTCCCAAACAGGAGTTGTTCTTCTTCTACGGAAATGATCGTCATGTATAGGGTTGAGAATGGAAGCCAAGTCCATTAATCGCTCTGATGAAGCTGGTGCAGGTCTCTGCAGAATATTGGAGAGATTGTTGGAGGAGATGATGAGCCTGCCGGGTCTTGACACGTCGAGCTCGTGCAGGATTTCATTAGAACAGAAGGGACAGAAGGTTTCGAATATTGGATTTGTAAAAGCACGTAGCCTAATGGTGTGATGACAATGGTGGCACCATAAGTAATGAAAGGTTCTGGTTCTTTGAACTCCATTGACGACAACACGAGGACGAGGATGAGGGTGGTGATCAGCGAAAGACATTGGAGAAGGAGCTTTTGAAAATGGTGTTATGAGAATGATGAGTTTAGTTTTGGTTTATATAGGTGAAAGAAACACGGGGATGAAGATAGATTTGGAGTTTTGGAAGTCAAAGAGATTCTTTTTTCTCCTTTTTGGTCTACAGGGTTTTCTTGTCTCCAAGACTTCTCTTCCCTCCGCTCACCAAAGCAAAGGATGATTGAGAAATCATGCAACTTTATTTTTAAAGAAAGTTATCTTTTGGCTTTCTTCCACAATTTGGGTTAATTTACTATTTAAGGAACTTTTGACAATAATTATTAAAATATTTATGGGGTTGAAAATGTATTTTTTTATCTTAAATATAAATTCTTCTATGATGGTTAACAATTTATTACTTGGACCGTGGATATTTCTATTCATTTTTACTAAGGATATAAATTTAAATCGTTAACTGTGTTATGTTAGTCTTTATCATAAGATTATTTTATGATTGTATTAATCAAAAGATCATGTTATTATTCAAATAATACCTAATTAATAAAATATATAAATTTTCTTCAAATGATTTGATTATGATAGATGCTAACTGAGGTAACATATATTTGTAATTTCTCATTCTTCTCATAACCCGTTTAATATATTATTAATAACTTATTTGACATTGAAGAATAATTGTAGGGTTAATATAATTTCGTTTAATTTTATAAATCTGAAACCATAAAAATTATTAAAATAAAAATGTCTTAGAGAAATCAAGTTCAACATAATAGATATTTATTATAATCTATTGATAAGATAAATAAATGCATTATGCTATTTAGTTACACAATAATACTATTCAATATAAAAATGAAAGAATAATGTTTCTAAAGATAAAGAGTTTCAATTATAAGAATCACTAATGTTATAGAGGTTTATGTGTTAAGATTCAAGGTTGAAATAACAAAATCAAAAAATTTAGAAATCATTATTGTAAAAGATAATGTATAAGTATTTTTTCAATCTCTTTCTCTAAAATATTATAACGAGATGAATTTAGTTTTTTGATTAATAATATTATCTTTTTAAAAGTGATTCAATTATTTTTTTAATTAAATAATAAATATTTGCTTGAAAAGAGATGACTCTTTTAAGAGCTATCTAATTTTCAATATCCTCTCTTAGATCTTTTTTAAAAAATGGTCAACTAGCATACACCGTTGACCAAACCAACCCATAAAAAAAAAGAACCAAAAGAGTGCCGGTCCGGTTTGTAAGACCGAGCCATGCCGGCCGAGTTGGTGAACCGGTTTTTCCGAGCCGAGTTTAACGGATGGATTTGGTTGTCGCCTAGTCCGCTAACTGTCCATCAAAACCCAACTGCGTCTATACCATTTTCTCTCTCTTAGAAAACCTCTCTCTTAGAAAACCTCTCTCATCATCTTCCCCTCTAGAGAGAGAAACCAGCCCCCAGCAACCATGAACATTTTCTGACAACCCAAAAGAAAACAAAGCTTTAACTTTTTCTCTATCCGAAGACCTAACATAATTTCCCCAAATGTCTCATATAGTTTTACAAACTTCGTCTTTGCCCGCAGCCACCTCTCCTAAAACCTTATCGTTAAAACCAAGCTTGCTCATCCCTCGCCTCGGTCCCGCTCGGGCGGTTGTCCCTGGTAAGCGCCGGAGTAATCTAAGAGTAAGGTGCTCATCATCAGCTCTGGTAGATGGTGTGGATTCCGTTGCCGCGCTGGAGCGTTGCTTTGCCGCGCCTTCGGCCCCCGTCGACACGGCTTCTCCGTCCGGTTCCGGTGATTTGGGTCCGGTTATGAAGGGACAGTACGGTGCACTTGGTGCTGTTACTTTGGAGAAGGGGAAACTCGATTTATCGCAGAAGCAATCGAAGTCCAGCCCTGAGGTACGTTTTATGTTTTCCATTTACAACATATCACTGGAAATTGGGAGCGTTGAGAGGTAAAACCTAATTTGAAGTTCAGTTTTGGCTAATATTTAGTTAATCAGAGAGCTCATGTAGCTAACAATAACATTTTACTGATCATATATTGAGGAGCAAACTGTGTTTAATCGATGCTTTATATTGTCAGTATTATCTAATTAAACCTCTTAGTATCATTATTTTCATGTATTATCGTCCCAACTGAAAGTTGAATAGTGCTCTGCGTAATTTGATAACATATTCATGGATGTGTTCATACTTTTTTGTATATGCACGCATAAACGTTTGCTTTTATAGTACCAGACTGTAAGTTATATAATTTATGGTTTTAAAGTAGTAAAGTATTACCTTAGCGCAGAAAAAGTTATTTATTTCCAAAAATAGTATTTCATGATGTTAGCAGTATGTATAATGATAATGTGATGAGTTTGGCTCTGAAAACGAATGCTATCAAGATGGTAACTTTTAGGGGCCTCTTGACAGATGGAAAATTTTGATAGAATCAAGGAATGAAATTCTTGAGTATTATGTTTATAAAAGCATTTCTTAATCTGAGCTGTTTAAGTGAATACATTCACCTAGCTGAATTGTACCAAATAATCTCCATGATGGTCTACTGGAAACTTTGCGAATATTACCTTTTGAAGTAACTGCAACAATTGTGATTTTGTGATGTGGTCTGGAAATTTGGCCATTAGTTATTATACTTTCAGTAGAGAAGATTAAGTACAAAACTGTGTCAGTTACTTTGTTTCCCTAACACTTTGTTTGGTCAAGAATTGGTAAGTGGTCCAGGCTTGGTGGGATCCTACGATCCAAACCAGTGGCGGGAGTTGCAGAGTTAGAATAGAGTTCAATTTGTGCTCCTGCATGGGTTGATGCTCTCATATTGCTCTATGGATGCTCTCATAAGGCCTCGAAGATTGAAGGATAACATTGCTTACCTTGAACAATGGGAGCAAATTCCAGATGCATTTAGCACTTATTGAAGGTGGAGAATGCTGACATATAAAGAGCTATAGGCCTATCAATTCAGTGAGTGGTGTACTCAAGCTGATAGCCAAAGCTTGTGCCTTGAGATCAAGCAGGGTGGTTGGGCAGGCTGTAGGTGATGCTGAACATGCTTTTTTGGAAAGATGCTAGATTCTAGGTGCTGCCTTAATTGAAGAGGAACTGGTAGATTCAGTCCTTTAGTTGGAGGAAACGGGACTTGTATGCAAGTTAGATGTTGTGAAAGCTTATGGTCACACATCTTGGTCCTTTCTCGGGCACTGTTAGCTTACAGCTTGAGATGGAGAAAATGGATTAGGAGATATATCTCTTCTCTCATTTTTTCTTTGTGTTCATTGCTAAGCTGATTGAGTTTTCTCATTCTTGTTAGGGCCTTAGGCTAGGGGATCCCTTTTGTTTCCCTATTTACTCATTTTGGTGATATAGGCTTTTAAAAAAAATGTTGATTTGAGGTCTAAGAGTTGGGAGCAAAGGGAGGAGGAAGTGTCTTGTTTGCTTTTTGTCGACGACTCCCTTCTGTTTTGCAGGCCAGGAAAAGGTCCATCTTTTGAGTTCTTGACCTCTCCTTGTGTGCTTTGAGGCAATTTTTAGATTTAGAGTGACTATGGGGAAATTTTATTTGGTGGCTTTTAGAGAAGGTCTAGATGCAAAGACTGTAAAGTCCACAAGTTTTCTTCAAGTATTTGGGTTCACGTGTGGCAGCTTTAAAATTGATGCACCTAGAGTGGTGTCACCTAAGATGGAGGAGAGGTATTTGCTGAAAGAGAGGATGTGCCGAAATTGGGAAAGTTCGCTCTAATGGGAGAATATTGTCCAATCTATATATTCACTTTTTACCCCTATTTTCTGTTTCTTCCAAGCACTAGAAATCTTTTTAACGTAGAATGGGTGGCTTAGAGGAGTGGTAGGGCTGCCATTTGGTGTCCTGAGATCTTGTGAAAAGGCTGGTTTTAGGGACAATTATCCATATGATATTGGTTAAGATGAATAGATCCTAATTAGCTGAAGGACCATGAGAATTCATGACTTGCAAGTACCAGATGTGGTGGGAGGTGATTTGTGCTAAGTTTGGAATAAAGAGAAGGGTTTGAGGACTAACAGTGATAGATAACTTTAGGGAACCTATTTATGGAGATGGATTAGCTTGGATGAAAGTACTGACTTGGAGATAGTGGAGTTTAAAGTTGGTTAAAAAAAAGTGAGCTTTGGATGTAGGTGGTTTGGGGATAGGCCTTTGAGGAGTGACATTCATAAGTATTTTCCCTAGCCATGGACAAAGATGGCAATCTATAAGCTTGAAGATCTTGATAGAAGAGAGGGGGGAATGTGGCCTTTTAGTTGAAGAGCTTAAAAATAGACGACAAATTGGGCTTGAGCTAGTTGAGTTGATTATGAGGGAGGAAATAACTTAGAAACAAAAATCGAGAGTAAGGTTGATAAAGGAGGGGGATAGAAATACTAGGTTATTTCACACTTTGGCAAATCACCATGGAACAAGTATATACAGAGGGGTTGGTGGTTCATATTAATGTGATTGAAGGAAATCCTGAGTTAAGGGGGTGTGTTAGCTCTTTCTATCAAGAACTATATGTTGAAGACACCTCATGAAGACCTATTTTTTATGACCTTGTAGTTTCCAGATTGAATGAGTAGGACAAGACCTCCTTTGAGCAACTGTTTACAGTGGAGGAAATTTATGCGATCTTGATGAGTTATTAGGATGACAAAGCTTTGGGGTCAAATGGGTTCAACATTCTTTCTCTCTTGGGAAAATTGGAAGACTCTGCAAAATAATTTTGTGGCTACATTTGATGTTTTCTATGAAGCTGGTTCTTTTTTGAGAAGCCTAAATACCACTTTTTTGGTGTTGATACCAGAGGTAGTTGGGCCAACTAATATTAGAGATATTAGGCCAATAAACTTGTTCGGTGGGATGTATAAAATAATTGCAAAGGTTGTAGCAAGAAGGATAACAAGAGTGGTGAGTAGTGTGTGTTAGGATCCTTTTGCGGGTGGAAGACATTCTTGATGCTGCCTTATTTTAATGTTCACAACTTGTTGAAGAAGGGGAAGGAGGGGGTTTTATGCAAGCTGGATATGAAGAAAGCATAGTATCATATAACATGGAGTTTCTTGTTTTACAAGGGGGATATGGTGAGTTTTGGGACCAAATGGAGTCTATGGAGTAAGACCTGCATTACCACAACATCTTTTGCGACCATGTTTAATGGGGTCCTTAAAAAATTTTCTAGGTTTCCAAGGGTTTGAGATAGGATGATCCTTTGTCCCCCCTGCTATTTATTTTAGTTATTGAGGCCTTTATTACTCAATAAAGCCAGGGACTTACAATTGTTCAGGGATCTAAAAGTTGGGAAGAATATGGAAGAGGTGGAGATAACACATTTTTTTTATTGATGACACTCTTATTTCGTGAACCAAACTCGAGAGATGTTCTCAATATCAAGTGTGTCTGTTGTGTATTCAAGTTGTCTTCGGTTTGAAAATTAATCTAGTAGAGCCAAAGTTGGTCAATCTAGGTGAAGGAAGGGAAGCTATCAATTTGGCAACCTTTACGAGGTACAAAATGGGCAATCTACCTATGAAATATCTAGGGCTTCCCCTTGGAGCAAAATTCAAAGGTGTCTCTACATGGGAACCGGTAGTTAGTCATGCTAAATCTCATTTGATAGGTTGGAAAAGGGGATTACTTCTCAAAGATGGTAAACTTACCCTTATAAAAAATGTCATGGAAAATATCCCCATATAATTTATGTCGTTGGCCACAGTTCTTGTTAGTGCAGCTAAGAGGTTGGAAGCAATTTAACATAGGTTCCTTTCGGGTAATTAAGAGGAAGGGTGGAGTTACTATTTATTGGCATAGGACGTGGTGAAGCAACCTTTAAGAGAAGAGAGGAGGGGTGAGATCCTTGGTTGAGATCAATATCGCTATTCAAGGGAAGTGGTTTTGGAGGTTTATGAGCGAAAGAGACATTCTTAACATGCACAACTTGAGAGGAGTGGAAATTGTTGTCAATGATTGCACTTTATGTCTATGGAAGTATGAGTATGCCAAAAACGTCTCCTCCTTTCAATGTCAGACGAACAGCCCTTAAATTGAAAATAGAGGTGAAAAATAAAAAACTTGAAAAAGACGAGAGAAGATTGAAGATGTCGATGTACCTTTGACATGTATTCGATGATTTGAGTGCCAAATAAAGAAGAATATGGTGAGATCAGAAGAAGATAAGGGAAAGAGTGATAGGAAAAGAGAAAGATTACTCGAGGGGGAAGAGAATCGGCAAAAATATATTTGATATTCAACTTACCTACAAAGATTTACAAAACACATGTTTTTAAACACGAAAGAAATTAAAATTGCCATGGAATCACCGTAAATCCTTCGAGAAACCGAGAGAAGAGAGAGAAACCCTATACAGCGAGTGGCCTTTTATGTCGATATGTTTAACCTATCCCTAATCTTTATCCTTAAACACGCCTCCAGGATTTGTGCCACGTATCTCCTTTATTTCACGAATTGTAGACACGTAGCCCACTCCATCTAGCTTCACCCAATGGCCGACGTGTGTCCATTTCTTTCTCTTGATTGAGCCACATGTTTGGCTCTTTGTTTATAAACCCTGATGGGATTTGACCTTTTGCTTCCCACTTCATGGATGTGTGAAATGGAGGGTTAGTTTAGAGAAAGGATAAGTTTTTGAAAGGACGAGTGGATGGAAGTCGGGGCAATTTACATGCAATTTCCAGTGATTTTCTCCATTGCTCATAATTATGTGTCTATATAAGGGGTTACTTTATATTGTGCAAATGGTTCAACGGTGATTATCATGATCAATATAGAATTAAAAATAGCACATTTGGTTTGAGCATTTGGAAGAACATCTGGAAACTAAACAATATCATTCTACAACACTTTAGTTGGGTTATTGGGAATGACAACAAAATAAGATTTTGGTTTGACGTATGACATGACAAGTCTACTCTTCAAACAAGATTCCCTCTTATTTATGCTATTGTCTGGGATAAAAATATTTTGGTTAAAGATGCTACGGTTCTTAACAATCAGGGCTTTTGGCAGGTGTCAGTATTCAAAAACTTACAAGATTGGGAGTTAGAGGAATATTTATCCTTGCTATAAACTCTGTTTTCAATTCAAGTTTATGACAGGAAGGACAATCTAAAATAGCTACTCTCCAAAAATGGTACTTTTACTGTCAGATCTCTCTACAACCACTTGGCGGGCAATCTTAATAAGAACAACATTAGCTTGCCTTCCAACATAATATAGAAATTGGGTGCAACTCTAAGAATTTCATTTTTTCCTTGGGAAACTGTAAAAGGCTGCATTCTTACCCTTGACAACCTAATGAAAAGAGGTTTCATAATCACCAATAGATGTTTCCTTTATAAAAACAATTTTGAAACCTGTAACCACCTGCTTTTAGGCTATTCGGTTTCACAGCACCTGTGGAATGCCAATATTAGTCTTATGGGGCTGTCTTGGGTCATGAACAACAACATTCATGCTCAACTCCTAGCATGGGAAGGCTTCAGCAGCAAGAGAAAAATGTTAAGATTAATCCCACTCACCATAATATGGGTCTGTTGGAAAGAGAGAAACAATCGTGCTTTTAAAGGAATGGAACTTGATTTCAACAAACTCATTAATTGTTGGTTTCACTATTTTGGTTCCATTATTTGGGACATAACATCAGTTGTCTTGATGATCTTGGTTTTGTTGTCAATAGTTTAATCGATTTGTAAATACATTGTAAATGGGTTCTGCCCCCTTGGCACTTTAACATCAATACAACTCCACACTTTTATTTTAAAAAAAATACTATAAGGGGCTACTTTATGGGTTCCCCAAGTAGTGGAGTGTGGGTGGTAGATCTTACAGGAAACTTAAATGACTAGGAGATTAGTAAGTGAAGCCTCCAAATTCCCAATCGTAAATGGTGTTTTTTGGAGTGTTTGAGGATGAACTATTGTCGCACTTGAACTCCAAGGGCTGCTTTTTTGTCAAATCTTATCATAAGCACCTGACTAAGAGAGATGAAGAAGGGGAAATTCTCTACAAGCTGGGTTTAGAAAGTAAAGGCAATTCTTAGAGTGGTGTTTTATGTTTGGTAAGCTATGTGGGAATACATTCTTACCTTAGACAAGCTGATTAGTGTGGGAAGATCTTGATGAATGGTTATTATTTATGCAAAGAAGGCATAGGGACATTCAGTTTGAAGTGTGTACAATTGAGTTAGGGTTTAGAGAGGTGATTCGGGAATTTTAGAAGGACAGGAGGGGAAGAAGTGAGACTCAATCCGAGAAGAAACAGAGTGACATTCTGAAGACAGATCTCTCTTTACTTCCGTTCCTTACAAATCACCAGGTATTTATTCTGGTTTTGGTTACAAATCTCAACTTGTTTCCTATTTGATTGTTTCCTATTTCCTGTACAACACAATCATATTCTCCTTGGGTTCCTGTATGCTTTCTGCCTTTGGTCTCTTGCCTGCAGTTTGTTGGGGCTAGATTGGGTTATTGCCGGGACAGTGAAGGAGGAATTTTGGATGTGGAAAGATATTCAAAGTGATAAGCATTCAATAAGGCTTATCCTTCTGGTTATTTGGAAAGAGAGCAATGGAAGGGCTCTTCCTTTGAGAGTACAGAATTTGATTTTGTTAAAGTTAAATATTTTGAGTTCCAAGCTCTAAGTTCTGTAGTTAGGGGCCAGCCTCTGTATTATCGCGAGGATCTTGGGGACCTAATAAATATCATCTTCCTGTGGTTATCTTTTTGTATTATTTTTATAGACTTGGACTTTCATATATTTCCTCTAGAAACCTTTTAAAGCCAATATAATTGTTATTGGTAAACTTTCTGTTTTTTGTACTTAAAAGACTATGTTTGGAATATTATTTCAAAAAAAAAAGACTACGTTTGGAATAAATCCAGAAAAATTGAAGAGGTAATTTGTATATCCATACCTAATTTTATGGGGATAGTGTAAATTGTATCAGGATGGTAAAAAAATTAGCCTCATAGAATGGGATTTAAACTTGAAACAGTGGCTTCCACCAAAATTGGTATTTGAAATGGGTTTTTTCATATGAAATTCTTCATGAATTTGTCATTTTTTCTTTTGAGTAATATGTGAGTTTACCTTTTTATCATTCTATGGAATATTTTCACTATTTTCTAGTTAAGTTGAATGTGAATTTGGAAACAAATTCCATGTAAATTTTGAATTTCTTCCAAATATAACCTAAGGATGGTCTTATTTTATGTTCTAGTAGGCACTTTGAATGTAACAAACCAAAAATATGCATGGATATGTTTAGTCAGTTCATCATTACCCTCCTCCAGTGCTTGATTCCTTTATCTGCTTGCAGCCGTATTTGTTTAAAAATTTTTAGCTTACAGTTTCTGTAACAGAAAATTGTGGAACTCTTTTCTCTAGATCTTTTTACCTTTGATGCAGTGGGGTTGAGTGTTCTTTGCATTCATATACCCCTTATCCACTTTTGACATTCTTATTTGGATTTAAATATCAATTAAGTTCGTCTTCGATCAATTTGTAAATCAGTTATTTAATCTTTGAAGTGGATTGTTCTATGGACTTCCTTCCAATGTTTTCTGGATCTTGGAAAAATAATGGCTAATTGATTTTGAAATTATAGCTTGCAACTGGAGGTGGTGGTGGGGACATTGGAAAGAAAATCAATCATGGAGGTGGTGATGGAGGTGATGATGATGGTGATGATGATGATTACTTTGATGAATTTGACGATGATGAAGAGGGAGATGAGGGGGGATTATTTAGAAGGCGGAAATTTCTTGAAGAGGTTAGAAGCTTGGCACTTAGTTCACATACAAGTCTCACTTCCATTCCTATTCCCCTTCTTGAATTTCAATAACAGTAACAGTTTCTTTTTCTTTTCACCAGCTTTTTGATAGAAAATTTGTAGATGCTGTATTGAATGAGTGGCAAAAAACAATGATGGATTTGCCTGCTGGCTTCAGACAAGCCTATGAAATGGTATACCATCTTCTAACAATTTAGGTTTATTGGAGTTCTTTTATTTAAAAAAAAAAACTTTTATTGGAGTTTCGATTGCTCAATGTTGACTAAAAGATTGCCTCCAGGGATTGGTCAGCTCTGCTCAAATGGTGAAGTTCCTTGCTATAAATGCCAGACCAACCACAACTAGATTCATTTCTCGTGCCCTTCCACAAGGCATATCTAGGGCATTTATTGGCAGGTAATCTGATTAAACGGTCTATATGACTGGAACGGTATCATCCGTTCAAAGTGTTGTGTGACTTTAATCATTGTGAATGCAGACCCTTGCCTATACATTAATTCGAATGCATAAATACCTCAACCAGTATAACTTTGAATTATTTAACAGCAAGACTATGTTTGGAACAGATCTATAGCTTTTGTAAAATTCTTTTGCAAATATGCACTTGGTTTTATTAGAAGATAGTAAAGAATATGTTAAAAAATGGCAAATGTTCTCATATGAAATTTCTATGTATAATTGGAATAATGTATTCCAAATTCTATCGATTTCGGTAGAATTTGAAGTACATTGGAAATTGGTAGAACTTGAAGTACATTGTTCATCTAGAATTCTTTATGAGATTATTTTTAAAGCAGAACTTCCACCATGTTTTAGCTAAGGTGTAAATCTGTTAATGAATTCTAAAAATTTCTGAATTTGTCCAATACTTAATCAGGGGGAACAATGTAGTCTATAGACTCTGATTTCTCACGTAGTCTTCTGTTGGACAGGATGCTTGCAGATCCCGCCTTCTTGTATAGGCTTCTTTTGGAGCAGGCTGCTACTGTTGGTTGCTCTATTTGGTTGGAATTGAGGAATCGGAAGGATAGGTTATTCACACTCTTCCTCCTACCACGTATTATGATATCTAATCTTCTTTCTCATGATCAGCGAACTCAAAAGATGTTATTTTGATTGTTGAATGTCTTTATAGGATAAAACAGGAATGGGATCTGGCACTTATTAATGTGCTAACAGTATCAGCATGCAATGCTGCTACTGTTTGGTTGCTTGCTCCTTGTCGTTCTTATGGAAACACATTTCGGTTTGATTTGCAAAATACATTGCAGAAACTCCCGAACAATGTATTTGAAATGAGTTATCCCTTGAGAGAATTTGATTTGCAAAAAAGAATCCATTCCATTTTCTACAAGACTGCAGAATTGTGTCTAGTTGGATTAGCTGCTGGGTCAGTTGAAGGTTCTTTGTCAAACTTTTTGGCCAGTAAAAAGAAGGAAAGGTAAGATACAGATCCTTGTCCCTGTGTTAGTAACTGCATCCAATCTCCAAAAAAATCCCAATTGTCTCGTACTTTTTATTTTTGGAATGAAATATTTATGGGTTCTCTGTGAATAAGATCAAACCTTATTCCATGCTATTAACATGAGATCCATTTTTCTTTTTCTTAATCCATATTCATATAGGATTTAGTTCATCCATCATGTATGTTTTATGTCTTTCAGTATGCTTAACATGTGCTTCTTATTTGTCAGGCAGTCTATTAATGTTTACTTGGATATTCTCTTTAACTTTTTCAGGTCATCTGTGACAATCCCATCTGTGAGAACCAATGCTCTTAATTATGGCGCTTTCCTTGGACTCTATGCAAACTTGAGATATCAACTATTGTGTGGATTTGATAGAGCAATGGTCAACCACTTTGATGTTATTGGAGTACCACTCGTCTTTAGCACAATTTTGAGGTCCCTTTCTCTTGTGCAGTTCACGTTTATCATACAATTAAATGATGTGGAGATTTATTACTTTTATGCCATGTTTGGAATAGATGAACTTTATGTGGAATTTATTTCATAAATCTGCACTTAGTTTAGCTAAGAGAGGATGAAAGCATCTAATAATGAAAATTGATCTCTTAAAAATTTCATGTGGAACTGAAATAATGTAAAATTAATCAAAGCTGATAGAATTTAGAATTTTATTGGTTCAAGTTCACTTGAAATCTCTTACGAGGACAATTTCATTCTCTTCTAAATGTAGCTTTCATTGTCCCACGATTGAACAATTTATGAATTCCCAAATGAACTCCACAAGAATAGTTCATTTCTTGTCAAAATAACCTTAGTCTTTATTATTTTGATAAGACAAAAAGGTATTTGTTTCCTCTATATCTTTTTCTTTGCAATTAGCCTTCTTAATGTTGTCTCTTTCATTTTTTAGTTATGGAAATCTGCTTTCGCAATTGTTAGGGTTCCTTTTGTTGTTCTGGAGAATCACTTTCTCCTGTTTTTATCTGTTAGAAAACTGTAACCCAAATCTTAAGGTTACTTGGGTTTGGGATATATAAATTCCTGAAGTTGGTTTCATTTTAGTGTATTGGTTGATAAAACCCTTGAAAATGTTCAGCAGTGTACATATAGGAGGAGTTCGATAAAGTAAATTTTCTTCTGGATTCTATACAGGATTTTGAATGTTCAGTTGGGAGAGAGATCAAGACTGGCTTGGCTAGGAGTGGAGCCAGACCCACTGGTTCAGTCAGATAACCTCTTGAAGGCCTACAGCAGGCCATCAGAGGATGTGGCTAGATCATCTTCCCAATGGTTTATATCCAAGAATGCGATTGTGTCGGGGCTTGGTCTTCTTGGTATCAAACAAGGGAGTCCTGAGTCTGTTGATGGAGAAGCTCCAGCTCCCAAGGCACGAAGGAAGAGGATTGTCCGGAAGAAGGTAACTGCAACCTCAGCATAGTTTCTTCGTAAATACGATAACATCCTGTCCAATTTTGCTGCCCAAGAGAAAGCAAACATCCTCATCAGGCATTGAAAGCAACAAGTGCTTAGAAAGTGGGGTAATCTTCTCTTCGTCTTTTTTCTTCTTATGATTAATTTTTTGATTGACGGTGATCACCGATCTGTCACAGTCGGGGATTACCATGTAGCACCATGTAGTAACTATAGACATGAAAGATTGCTCCTGGGAGGAATTATGGAATTCTCTTACTCAATTATGTTGTTGTTTGATAGCATTATTACACTCTGCTCCATTTTGAATTCGAAATTTTCGTAATAAATTTTAAGGATTAGTTTTGATTATAGGTTGTAAGAGCAGCCATCTAATTTGCATAATATGAACCTTGAATTGGGTTTTGACGGCCATGATGTATCTGAAAACCAATTTCATAAATATATCATATCAAGATAAGCGGTTGTGAGTAAATAACTCAACCCATCCCAGTCAAGCTTATAATATTTTTTTATTTTGGGGGGAAAACCAAACGGATCATATTCGTAATCTTATCAAACCAGATTCTCTCCGTCCCATATCGGTCAATCATATACCATTTTGGTCCAACCTATCCTTAAGAGGAGAGGACCATTCACTTATCTTCACCTTCTCCGGTGAATCACGCCGGCGCGTGGCTTTGACGATGAATCGGGTTTTCTCAACGTTGTTGTATTGGCTGGTGAACCACCCGACAATCCTCGGTTTCTCATGGAACCCTGGTCAAACTCTCGGCTCCTCTCCGCTTTTTCTCTCCCTTTCCGTTCTCGCTTACCTTTCCCTTACTTTCCTCATCTCTCGTCTCCTCTCGCTTCCTCCCGTCAGCTCAAAGATCCTGAAACCCATCACCGCCCTCCACAGCCTCACCCTTTTCCTCCTCTCCCTCCTCATGGCCACGGGTTGCACGCTATCCGTCTTCTTCCACCCGCCACCTCTCCTCCCCCGCTACGCCATCTGCTTTCCTCCCAATACCCCTCCCACTGGGCCGCTTTTCTTCTGGGCCTACATCTTCTACCTCTCCAAGCTTCTCGAGTTCATTGACACCCTCCTTATCATCATCAGCAAATCCTTCCAACGCTTGACTTTCCTACATGTCTACCATCACGCAACGGTGGTGGTTATGTGCTACCTCTGGCTCCACACATCGCAGTCGTTGTTCCCCATTGCGCTGGTCACCAACGCGACGGTGCACGTCATAATGTACGCGTATTATCTATTGTGCGCGGTGGGTGTGCGGCCCAGATGGAAGAGGTTGGTGACGGATTGTCAGATTGTGCAGTTCGTGTTTAGCTTTCTGGTTTCGGGTTTGATGCTGTATGAACACTTTGCGGGTTCGGGTTGCTCCGGGATATGGGGTTGGTGTTTTAACGCCGTGTTTAACGGTTCTCTTTTGGCTCTTTTTGCTGATTTTCATGGGAAGAGTTACGCCCGCAAAAAGGCTACGACTAAAGATAAGAAGAGCTCATGACCTCACAAATTCGGATTTATTTCATACTTTTTTTTTTTTTTTTTTTTTTTGAAAAAATTTGGTTGAATATAAGTCCGTCCTCATTTTCAGAAAGAATCCATTCCTCACAAAATTTTCTTTTTGAATTTTACTTTTCAATTGAATGCTAAACCAGTTGTAGTTTAAGTCGTAACAAATTTGTAGTTATGGTGAAGAGGATTAAGTTTTGAGATGCCAAATAAAATAAGACTTTGATGAGAGGGTTGGGTGGAGTTCATTTGGGATTGGAATGCATATTAGTAAAAGAAGTTGGTGGAGGTTAAATGATTAGTGGGATTCAAGAGAAAAGCATAATTGGATTACGTAGGAGAATTGAGTTACACCGGCCAGTTATTCATTACAAAACTTGACCATTTATATATGTATATATATATATATAGTTGTTAGCTAGCCTCCATTGTCGACTCTGAACCTCCTTTAATATGTTTCCCACCAACTGTTTATGATTAAGCATTGTCCTGATCCTACTTCTCTCTGAGTTGCCCCATCGGCTTACTTCATCTTTATCCTCAACCATTTTCAAACAAAACAAACATGACCTCCCTCTGCAACATTGCATACAGGACATTTTTAGCTTCGGTTCCTGCTCACAAATAAACCCAGAGGAAAATTAATTTCAATTAATTGTTAGATCTTCCTAAAATTTAGAGAGAGGGTTAATTAATTTATTAAGTTAAATTAATAATTTAGATTTGACTTGAAATGATTTAATTAATCGCTAAAACCAGATTAGTTTGAATGAAGAATCGAACAACTTTTCTTTGTTATTTTTTTTTTAACTGTTCGTGTGGATTAAAAATTTACTTTAAAACAAATTTAATAATTTAGTTTCACTTTTTTTTGAAGGCTTAAATCATTTAATATTAACATAAAATTTTAAAATAATTAATTATTTAATATGATATGATACTTAGAGTTTTAATGTTTGAATATTCAAATCTTGAATGTTGTCTATGTTGAGGATATAAGTGTTATGCTCATAATCTAATTATTCATGTAATATATTTAATACTTATAATTTATTTTAATATATACCAATACTTTTTTATTATCATATTTATTATCTTATCGTTTAATTTACGTAAAGATAAAGATCTTGATAATGAGAGTAAAACTTTTTATGATCTAATTTAAAATATTCTTAATCGTTAGATCATCAAAATAGAACATTAATAATCCGGTAAAACTAATATATATGTGATAGTCTCTATAAGATAAAAATTAGTTAATCTCGATAACTAAATCACATATATAAATGATGCATATGAAGATATAATCATTGAACAACTCCTCCACTCATATCATCTATCTATATATATATATATATATGAGTGGAGGTTTGAAAAAGGGTGTAGAGTCGAGTTGAAAAATTTATTGCACACCAAAAAGAAAATTGAGAAATTCTTCTATTAATATTTTGTAAAATTTTTTTAATTAAAAAAATTGAATAACAAAGATTGGTTTCAGTGTGAATATACATAGAATGTTCGTGTTTATGAATAATTTTTATTTAAGAATCCACTGTCAAATATATTTTAGATTTAATTTTTAACTTGCAATATAATTTTTTAAGTATAAATAGGTCAGATTGAATTATTTTTTATTTTTCACTGCGTGTTATGCACATATAATTATCCAGCAGTTTAATTAGTATATGATGTAAAACCTAGAAAATTTATACATAATTGGTGTGTTTATATATAAAAATTAAAATTGAATTTTCAATATAATACTTCATATTTTAAAGTATGATCTACGTCATTATAATTTTTATAATACTACACACCAAACTACCAAATTTAAAAATAAATTTGTGAATAACCCTTCACAATTATAATCAATCTCAATCAATTATTTAAGGAACCTAATTGATGATATACTTTTCTTAGAAATTATAAGCATACATGTTAACTTTAGATGATGCCACCTTATAAGGCAGATTTAATTATTATATATATGTATATTAAATTATCATATATGTATGCATATTAAGATTTTCATAATGCCACCTCACGATGTAAATTTATTATTTCAAAAGTGACATTCTTATTTGTCTATGTTGTATTATCATAATTTTGTGTCAGTGTATATGTATATATATATATATACATACAACTTTCAATAATGTATTTAAATTCAGTAGTACTATGTCTTTGTTTAAAAGCAATACGCATTTTTAAAGTAATTACTATGTTTCTATCATAAAGTTTGAACTCCTTATCATTTACTAATTGTTGATACACTTTAATTTACATAATTAAACACACACATACTGCGTAGAAAGCAAATTTAAAATTCAGTACTTCAATAACAATAAAAGTCAATGGCAGTAATTAATTAATTTTTAATATTTGAATGATAAATTTATTAACTTTTTACCACGAAGCTGACTCTCTGACTTTGATGACAAATTACATTGGTGTTACTTGTTTAGAGTTCATATATATATATATATATGTATGTATTTATGACATATGAATCCACACTCTTTTACTGTCTTTACCACGACGATGCTCTGACTTTGACCTAAAAAGTACACTGGTGTTAGAGTAGTAGTGGTATATATATATATATATGCTAGTCCAGTAGAGAACTTAATGAGTGTATATACGTCCAGTGTTGTACAGTTGGGGATGCAGGGTAATTACTTAGATCAGTAAATTAATGGAAATAAATGAAGAGACAGACAGAAGATTGCAGAATGTCAAGTTAATACTCAAAACCCTGCATGCATGCACTCCCAGTATCACCTATAAATACATCTATAGATACGGTCATACCACAATTTCATGACTCTCTTCTGTGTAATAATATATATATAAACCCACGCATCCTCATCAATTCCCTCACTACCAACTTTTCCTTCAAGAAGCAAACCTTGCCAAACCATTCTCTGAACTCACCATTTTCACATCTCTTTTCATCTACATATTGTATGCATATACATACACTCTCTCATCGATCATCGTCTATGAACGTGATGCCAGTCTTCTCTGCCATCAACTACTGGCTGGTTCAGCAACCAAGAATCTTGAACTTCTCATGGAACCAAAACAAAACTCCATTATCATCCCCAAGATTCCTCACCTTTACCGTCATCTCTTACCTTTCACTCAGCTTTCTCCTTCCTCGTGTCCCTCTTCCTTCTCTTCCCTCCAAGCTTCTCAAATCAATCGCAACCGTCCATAACATTTGTCTCCTCACCCTCTCCCTCATCATGGCCGTCGGTTGCACCCTCTCCATCTTCTCCACCGCGCCTGATCTCCACTACGTCATTTGCTTCCCTAAAAACACTAAACCAGACGGCCCTCTCTTCTTCTGGGCATACGTGTTTTACCTTTCCAAGATTATGGAATTCATGGACACTCTCCTTATCATTTTGACCAACTCCAACAAACGGCTCACGTTCCTCCACGTATAACACCATGCAATGGTGGTAATCATGTGTTACTTATGCTTGTATACTTCTCAGTCTTCGTTTCCCATGGTTCTTGTTACGAATTCAATGGTTCATGTGTTGATGTACACGTATTATCTGCTTTGTGCTACTGGGGTTCGGCCCAAGTGGAAGAAAGTAGTGACGGATTGCCAGATTTTGCAGTTCATTTCAAGCTTTTTAATGCTGGGTTTGATCATGTACAACCATTTCACTGGTTCGGGCTGCTCGGGAATGTGGACTTGGTGCTTTATTTCTGCTTTTATTACTACTCTTCTAGCTTTGTTCCTTGATTTCCATTCAAAGGCTTACAGCGGTAGCAAGAAGAAGGGTGCGTGATGATCAGTCATCATCTGTTATAATTCAAGCGCAGAAACACCATCAAGATTTTATCAGAATTATCTGTAATTTTAACACGAATATCCTCTTGGTTTCTTTTTAGTCCTTAAGGTTTGATGACAGAAAAATATGGTTTGGTGTAGTGTCTTCATGATATTTAATGTGTGAAAGGTTTTGTGCGGCGTGGCGTGGGACAAAGTTATCATATTAATTGTTAATGTTTATCTACATTCGTTTAGATAAGTTCGTATGTATACCATTTATTCGACATGCACGTTGGCATGTTTCGTGATGGTGTAGATGTAAAACCTTTTTTTTTTTTTTTTTTCCTGTTCAATCATTTTTCTAATTTCTATGAATTATGGGAAGATTTTTCTTTTTCTTTTTTCTTTTTTAAAACAGACCACTATCAAATCTGATATTATATATATATATATGTATGTATCTATTTATGATGAAGTTTAAAGACTTTTTTTTTTTTTTTTTAAAGTATAAGTTGGTACACTTTTTTAACTATATATCACAAGATTAGGAAAAAAATACACCACACAATCTTTTTAGCAAGAATATACATAACCTGCAAATTATAATTCAAACCTACGTTTTTATTTATAGAAAGAGTTGAATTAAAGTATTTCGAGAAGTAAGAGAAATTTCAGATATGTTATAATGTATGAAATAAAAAGATATATGACGAGAAGAAAGAACTAATATTAGACTCGAAACTTAATAAATTTACTTAAAAATGTTAAAGATAATAATAAGAGAAGAAAAAAAAATCTAAAAGAAGAGGGTTTGATCCATGTAAAACTATATTTGATATTTTGTGTTATAATATGTAATTTTATTTCATGTTATCTATTTATAAGGATTTGATGATTATTATTATTATTTTTTTTCTTGTGTACTATAATAGTTTTAATATATTACGTAACACATAACTACATCAAAATAACCATATTGTCACAAAATAACTGATAGTAAAATGATTAGTCGGCAAAACCCAATTAAAATTTTTAAATAAAAATAAATACTATATCATAATATATATACATATTATAAATAAAAACTATTTTTTAAACTTGGTTTATGGATGGACTTTGTCATCATAAGTTTAAATCTCCTATCAATTAATTGATATAAATAAGACTTTAAACAATTATAAAAATGCAAAAGATGTTGAATTTATATGATGTTTATTAACAAATTTTAGTTTAATTGTTATTTCTGCTCTCTTTTATGTTAAACTACTCAGTTTCAAATCTTCTTACATACAAGTTTTCTACGTATGATATTAATGTAATACAGAAAAATGTGGGATATGAATTATTCATTAATAGGGCTTGGTTTCAGTCTATTTATGGACGATTCATAAATTAATATTAATTTAATGTATCAAGCTTCGTTACATTAAATTAGTCATACAGTTTTAGAACATGTGGCTCCATCAACTTGTATGATTGAGAATACTGAATGCTGAATTAAGACATGCATGATGAAAACTCTAAATTATAAGTATATATATATATATATATATATATTTTACAATGTAATCCCTAAAAATGCCAACTTTTATTATAACCACTATTTATTTTAATCAGTGTTAAATCTGTATCAGATGAACAATTCTCTACCCATGTATTGTCTACCTACATAGAATTTATGTTCCTAAACATAATAATTCTACTGAAATTTGTTTACTGAAATTTTGGTTTCTTCTTCAGCTCTTTACTGGTTCTAGTTTTTTTTTTTTTTTCCAAGTAAAAAAATGATTTAGTAATGGCTTAAAATTCAGTCTATTGGTTTTAAGCAACTTCTGTTTTTCAAGATTTCAACAGTAATAAAATAATATGCTAGTAAATCAATTATTTCTTTTGATTCTCTGCAAATATCTATGATGATTCTTGACCACTGGTCATGATACCATTTGTTTTCTCTGTTATCATGACTGCTACACATCACAAGATCATGCAAATGATCACAGTGAATCACACACATATATATAGTCCACTATTAAATCTATATCACGGAGTTCCTTGATAATTTGATGTGAGAGAACTGAAACTTGAACAGAAAATGACAAAAAAAAATCAATCAAGATTGAGCCAAACGAGGAATTAAAGACTGGGGAAAGGTATCAAATGGATTATGGTAACAAGCAAGGAAGCCTTTTGGAGCTGTCAGTGGCTATACAGAATCTGCAGATTCCCTCTCTTCACACGTATTCTTCCCCCTCACTTTTCTCTCCATTCGGATATAAGTTACAACTCTAGCTACCTTCTCTTACCATGTCTCGACCTCAAACAAGCTAAATACTCAATAGAGAGATAAGTGGCAGAGATGGCTTACTGTTCCAGTTCTGTACCTCTTACATCTTTATTGTATGTCTTCATCCTCATTCTATCAGGTAAATAATTGTCTTTGGAGAATATCTGCATTGTTTTTGACATATTAATCACCATATGCATATATTTATATATATGCTTACACTTGTAGGGATGACAATGTCAGCACATGCCAAAAACATTACCATTGTTAATCTTTGTAAGGAGACAATATGGCCCGCCATAATAACACTCGGTAATAATAATGGCGGCAGTGGTTTCCAATTAAAAGCAGGCCAAACTGCCTTCTACAGCGCCCCGGATGGATGGAGTGGGCGCATATGGGGACGTACAGGCTGCAGCTTCGACAACAATGGCAATGGCACGTGCCAGACAGGTAGCTGCGGAGACTCTCTCAATTGTTCAAGCGCGGGCAGCCTGCCAGTTTCCATAGCTGAATTTACCATCGGACAGCCAGACTTTTATGATGTTAGTCTCGTAGATGGCTTTAACTTGCCTATTGTGGTTACGCCAATTAATGGCACAGGTAATTGCAGTGCTGCAGGTTGTGATGGAGATTTGAGGCAAAGTTGCCCATCCCAGCTCACCTTTAAATCTAATGGGAAGGATGTTGCCTGCCGAAGTGCCTGTGATGTGTTTAATACAGATGAGTATTGCTGCAGAGGTAGTTATGGAGATCCTGGCTCATGTTTACCCACCAATTATTCCAAGATTTTCAAACAAACATGCTCTGCAGCATCCACCTATGCATTTGATGACCGAACAAGTATTATAACATGCTCTGCAAGAGAATACGTTGTGTCCTTCTGTGCAACAAGGTAAACATGCATTATCGTTTCAACATTTCAGTAAGGAAATTACAAAACATTATCATACATTTGCTCACAAACATTCATCAAACAATCAAAAGCCAAGTGGTTATTTTTACAGTATCAAATTATCAGATATTTCTCTTTCATAACAGAATGCAATAGTAAAGATACAGTACTATATCAGTCTTTGCCATGAACAGAAAGCGATATCTAGTAACAGTATTTATTTTCCATGTTTACTGATTCATTGGTTATGATTCCAGAAATCAAACAGTATGCTCCTATCATGATCACACACTTGCCTGCAATGTATCTGGTGGCCTCAGATCATTCTCTAGCAGCTGGTGGAGCCTGATGCTTGCAATACCTTTTACTCTCTTTATACGATCATTGTTTTAGCAAATTCTGTACAGTACTATTTTCATTTTTGTGTTTCAAGATATGTTATGTTCAAGTATCTAAAATAACATATTTTCCCATTTTGTCTATTAAAACAAGTAAACAATGTGCAGGAACACATATCCATCGTAGGCTTCTGCTAGCTACTCCAAAAAAGGTTTACAATATAGATAGGATTGAGCTTAATCTTTCATACAATCCACATTCTATTATGATGCCATGAAAAAGAACCACCTTCTTGTTTATTTTAAATGATATACTCGTGAACACAAGCAGCATTCAAGGAAGGAATTTGACTTGACTTCTAATCCAACCTAAATATGTATAGAGTCAACAAAAAAATACAGTAACATAGAACAGACCAGCTCATTTGAAGATATTATTTCTGATTATCTGCACTCCTAGTGGCTGCTCCAATTGTCTTCCTCATGGTATATTTCCACTTATTCTGCCCAGTATTGGAGATCTGAGGAAGTTTTAATATCTTGAATGATACCCCAGAGGGTAGGTCTATGATCACGTTGAGCCATTGTGGCATATCCAAGCTATGAATATTTTGTCTGCGTTTGTCAATGGCTGCAAACAATCTGCAACTTCCCATCAAATTTGGTAAACTGGAGGACAGATTCAATTTGAAAAGTGTCATATGCAAATAGCACGTTATAGAAAATTGTTCACCTTTGTGGCTCCAGCCTCTGGAATATCCAACAGCACATGTTCTCTTAGACAGTGGGATTGAAGTCTATAAACCTGATTGAAATTGACAGATACGTGTAAAAAACAAAAGAAGAAAAATGCGGATAAGCTTGATTACCAGATTTACGTCCCAAAGAATTGGATACATATGCTATACAATTGGGTTTCAGCCACTTGACCAAACTCGTCCTGAGCATGTTGGTAAATATGTTTTGGGATATACATCTCACAATTTCCTTAAAGTTTTATACAACAAAACACCACGGACCCATCCCACTCAATACCTATTTTATATAGAACCATCCCACTCCATACTACAGCCAATAAATCTCATCATACTCACTGTGCTCTAACTTCTGTACAGCAGGAAAAATTTAGGTACAGTGACTTTAAAGTGTACAGAGAAAGCACCTACTTAATTCAAAAAGATACCCTACAGATACAAGTGTCAATGCTGTTAGTTCCTTCTGATTGCTGGTTTGTCTATTTCATTTCTTTGATTTGATGACCTAGAATCATTGCTTTCAAATGGTAATACAACTACAGGGGCAGCAGGCACTGTCTCCCAACGCTCCTTCAGAAAAGTCATGAACTTTTTAACCATTTCTCTCCGGAATTCAAGCTCCCGAGTGAAGAGATCAAAAAGAAGAAATGCAAGAACATACTTGAAAGGGACAATTAAGAGAATAGTTGCAAAAGATAGCAGCACAATTGCAACCTCCATAGTTATCTGATAACAAGTTACAGATCAATTTCACTATCAGAAAAATATATGTGAAATTTAAAATTAGGAAAAAAAACTTCTTATGAACATAAACATAGAAATATAAATAAAAAAATTCTACAAAGATATTAGCATCGGGCTAAGAAACGGGTCACAAAACTTTCAATCAATGCTATCCTTACATTCTCTGCTTCCATTCACAAAGACATGTTTGACAACGTACAATTTAGATGAGTCTGAATGAAACTGATGTCAAAGGTCCAAGTAAGCCTAAATTCAAATCTGCACCCAATTGTTATATATGATCAATTCAATATATCCATCCCACTTGTGCTTATATTTTGACCCTGAAGTATTTTTATGCCTAAAACTAGTCATATCCTTGATTTAAGAAAATAGCCAGTCCTCTACATTCTCATATCAGCAGGGAAATTACTCCAAGTTGATCCCTTTGTTCCAGTCTTCCCAATTGATAACATGCTTATATGGCAGGACTTCTTCTACTTCTCCTTCTGCTTTTATTGCCAAAAAAACAAATCTAGCCCAATGCCAAAATATAGAAGTACTTCTAACTAAAAGCTAAAACTACTTTTGGCTTTTGATGAGATGTGAAATCAAAAGTTGAAAATAGATGTTCTTAAAATATGATTTATGCTGCATGATGTAGGAGGTGAATAATACTTTCAGTGAGCATATTATTAATTTTATGTTTTTTCAATTATTTGATTTAATTAAATTAGTATTCATATTATTTTTTTATTTTTATGCAATTTTTAATGACTTCAATATTTTCTAATAATTTTATGTCACAATGAAATAATATCACATTATATATTGAAAGTACCTTTTATAGAACATTTTACCAAAAATTGTTCTACTTTTATCTTAAAGCTGTTTTTACTAAAAGGTTATCATCACATAATTTTAGCAACTCACAGTACAAGTACTAACTGGGCTAAAGGCATGCCACCATTCTTATAGTGTTGCCCAAGCAATTCAGAAGGAAACAACATTGTGAGACTTCTTAGTGTTTGATGCAAAAGCAAAATAAAATATTCCCATGGACATTAAAACAGAAATAAATATTTGTTATTTACAAAACATACTAGGTTCACTAGATTATGGCATACCTGAGGATGCCCTGAAAGAATAATCGTTCGCAATTTCAAAAGCATGACATTCAGATTCTGAAGATAGTTTTCCACATCCCGCATGGCATCTTTTACAGCTATTATCTTTTGAATAGTATTTGAAGGTGGCTGATCTCGGATTGTAATTTTTCCAAAAGATCTCCCAAGGCGCCCTTGTTCCTTAAGCCCCTTTAGGGTTAGCATTCCAGCTGCCAAAATCATCAATGCCATTGGAAACATATATGGCAGAAGATTTCTGATGAAGAAAAATTATGGAAAAAGAACATATTAGCTCAGTCTAATAAAGAACACATACCTTAAATTAAGGAAAAGTAATTCCATTTCAACAAAAGAAAAAAAGGAAAACTAAAGCACCTCAGCACAATGCATCAATTGCAGCATGTTCAGTTATGGGAAAGAATCTAACTTCTTTCTTCACAAACTAGACCACATATTGCAACATTAAGATTGTTTTTTGAAAAGGTGGATAAATGGTAAACATATAATAAGAATCAGTCATATGGTTGGAGGCACTAGAATCGACTATCAAAGAATTTTTTGATTTAGAGGTGATTCTCAATGTTTTCGAAAACTTACATTTCTAAGCTAATGATTTCAAGAAAATATATGAAGATAAGGACAGATCCAATGCTTGAAAATTAGAAAATTTTTTATAAGATTGTTCCAGTTGCTCGGTACTAAAGGCATTTTTGGCTGAAAAATTGTCTTCCCTCGTTTTTGCTCTTTTTTGGTCCGGTCCTCAACAGAAGTTTAATATGCACAGGATCGTATGTTGGGCATGGGCTTACAGTCTGCTAGTTTTTCACATATCTCCTAGCAAGATTTTTTAGTATGCGCATTTTTCTTGCATTGTTCACACCAGGTCTGGTTCTTTTGTTATCTAAAACCTATTTTAGCCAGCTGTCTCTTCTGTAATTTGGGCTGAAATTTTAGGTCCAACAAGCCCATTTTAACAACCGAGGGATATACTTCACAAAATTTAGGATTTATGCGTTGGTGAGATATTCGAAACTAGCAGCAATCAGTTAATTGTTAACAATTAATTATTGATCAAAGACTCGATTTTCTGACCCTATATTTCATTCTGGAAATTGTTTCTAGTGCTATACGATCATAGTCATAGAACCTTCCGAAATGGTATACATTGTCCATAAGAATAGCAAACATACAGTAAAGGTAGCAGGGTATGGACCTACCTGAAAATTATGGTATACGAAAATGCAAGAAATGAGACAGTTAAATGTGGCTCCTCCCAGCGCCTAAGTTTTTCAAAATTCCTGGCGATTACAGTCAGTGGAAGGATGAGTTCCTGTGAAATGGAAGAATTACAAGACTTTTCAACAAATCATGATATTGACAGCTGAAAATTAATGGAAGATCATTAATCATCCCACACAGCAGTCATTACAGAAACTTCACATTTTTGATTGTTGAAGTAAATGCCAAGCAATTGGAGCATATTCAAAATGATATTGATTGATTGAAACATGTCTGAGATTCCTGTAATAATTAATTATAAACACCATCAGACTGCTACAATCTAGACAATATTCTTCGACCACATGATGAATAGACTGTCTTCTTCCGTGACCTGGAATTTCCAGAGCATTGCACCAAAAAATTAAATAAACAAATGAACGTGCCGATTATTTTTAACACCTTGGGTTGGCATGCGTGGAGCTTCTTCCTAATGATCAGGAATCTGGTCTTGAATAGGAACTAATCAGCATGTTAAAAAAGATATCAGGCCAATTTCAGGGCTGATCAGTTCCTGCATGTATTTAGGTTCAAGTTGACCCAGTAAAATTTGATTGTATAAAGCACACAAACAAAAGGTTCTTTATTATGAAAATATTTGGTGTCCATGAGGTTGGTGCCAGATATCAAGAGGGTCCAACTTTTATCTGTGGCATAAACCTGGTATTGTTAGAACTAGTTGCACCAAATTATACAGTTGTTCATGAAACAGTTACATGACAGAGAGTATTCAGTATCAGAGAAGTGAAAAAGAAATTCTAAAATTTTTTGCTAAGAAATAAGGAGCCAAACCTTCAAGAGGTCAATGTTACTCGGTATTCCTTTAAGCATTGCAGCATCAATTGTAGCTTGAGTTTTTTCAACCACCAGGCATTTTTGTTCGCATGTAGCTGCTGCCCTTTCAACAATAGTCAGATCAGCCACAACAAGATGTTTGCTCAGTACTATCCCTTGTCTTATGGAACAGTTCTTCCAGAAATTAATGGATGTACTGGAAGTCCATGATGGAGACTTCATCCACTTCTGCAAGTAAACACTGCCATCAACATCAGACACGTGATCACTGCTTTCAAATAATTCTTCTGAAGGCCTAAGCACTTGGGATGCTTGATATCCTGCCTCTTTAACTTTTGTGATCAAGGGTCCACTCCAGTAACTTACAGCTAAAGCCTGACACACAACATCACCATATGGTGCATTTTGCAAATATGAGAACTGAACAAGTTTGATTGGATCATCAGGAAACTTCCGCATAAATTGAAGAGTCTGAAGTCGGGCAATAGAATTAACCGCACTTATGCTAGCCTTTTCCTTCCCCTTGTGGGCACCAAACACATGAAGTAATGATGGATCATTATCCTCTGGTCCATATTCACGAACAAACTTATGTAAAGCAATAACTTCACTTATAAATGCATGCCAAGCATCTCGTCTCAACTCAATCCCCAGGTCAACAAATTCCAGCACCCATGTGTCTGACCTGGATATGAATTTATAATTGAAAAAAACAATGAGAGATCAAAATATTTCTGGTAAACTGCAGTCAGTTTTTTACAAAGATTTCTACCTTAATTATTTTCTTTCTTCAAATGGTAATTTCCATCGCATATTAATTTCAAGATATTAAATCCCCCTTTTTATTCCTCTCATTTTAACAAGACATAAAAGATAGAATGACCCAAATTTCCTACATGTCCATGAAACCACTTTTGCCATCAAAGCTTGTGTTGAAGTATCTCAACTACATTGTCATCTTGATGTTATAGCCTTGGGGATTCTCACAAGGAAAAACACATTTTCTAGTCAGATAAGTAGGCTCCATCTTTTTGTTTCAAAATTCAGTTTGAGCAAGAGAAACTTTCCTTGGACTAGTCTGAATTACAAGTGAAACAACCAAGCAATTAGCATGACAAAAAGCATGACATTATCACACATTGCCAACCCACTCTCACTTGTATCTACCTCTATTAATGAAGTACTGTTAAGTGCCATCAGACAACACTGACTTAACAGCATCGACTACGGCATCATTTCTCATTAGATAATCACTATAACATCAACATGGATCAAACTACATTCATACTCAAGCAACTCGATGGGGATTGGTTTCAACAAGCTTACTCACCCAGGACCAGATGAAATGGAGACTGCAGAGTCAAAAAGAACAGAACCAAAAGGTCCTACTTTAGCTTTTTCCACTTGCAGTTCATGCCTCGTAAGGTCAAATCTCATAGTTTCTTTCTTTCCTACTAAGCCCTGCAACATGAGAGTGACAAAGTAAATGAATTACATCCTACGAACTAGGAGACATAGTTTTCAGCCCTAAAATTAGTACGAGAATGAATAAATACCTGAAAATAGAGTGCTTTATCAGTTAAAGTAAGTTTTCCTGGCCATGCCATGTTGTTCTCCCATTTTAGAACAGGCCGCTTCCTGTTAGAACCAACACACAATATTCTCTCTGGTGAAAGCTGTGGACATTCACGAATTTGATAAGATTTCCGTCCTTCATGCACCCTGCACTAAAACCAGAAGGATATTTAGCAAACCAACCTGTAATTTTCTGGGAGGTTTTTACTTAAAAGACGAAGAAAATACATGAAACTATATAGTAAATACTACATCAAGAAAACCCTAATTTTCCATCCTAAAACTGAAAAGTCCCCCAATAGGACTAAGAAGAAATATGGGAGAATCAGGTGGAGTAATACTGGATCTTCCTTATTCAAGAATTCAACTGTTTCCAAATCTATGAGCAGAATCTGTAGCATTATTATCTTCCTAATACAGAATTCCAGTCGCCCTCAAGCCAAGTTGTAAATGTTGAACAAACATAGCTTGTTACTCAATTCTTCATAGTCGGTTCTTGGAAGGGCTTCTGTAGAATATCTACAGTTTGAGACCAGGTAGGCATGTAGACTACTTATACAACTGAGTTTTCCATTTTCTCATAAATGAAATGTTGATTAATCTCAATGTGTTTGTTTGGCCTAGTTATTAATAGATTGATATGCTTCTCAATACTTATCCCCAACTCACCAAAAAGTCACTTTATCCACATACCTTCACGTATATCCAATGCTAAAGCCCTAAATTTAGCTTCAGCTCTACTCCTAGAGACAACAGATTGGTTTTTACTTTTCCAAGTTACTAGGTTTCCCAGACATGGGGACATATCTAAAGATGGAC